TTTTTTAGGGAAGAAACACTTTTAAACAGGATTTAGAGATCTAAATACATTCATAAATCTGTGTCTAAAAACCTCACCAAGAGGAAAGGGAATTCTCATCTAACTGGCTCTATTCAGATACTGAAATTCTGAGATTTAGGATGTGATGATGACAGCTAACATTAAGTAAAATACAAAATAGGACCATCTTTGACCTGGAGACGACTTGAAACCACAAGGCTCAAGCCATGGTGGAAAAATATTAATTACTAGTCATAAATCTGAGGAGTTAATGTGGAACAATTTATGGGTGATATATTGAGATTCAGGTCCTTCATAAGCACCTAATACACTTCTCAAGCAGTACAGAAATGTTAATAAATTGCTGTGCAAGACCAACTATAATGTTTGATTTAAGTTTTAAAAATAGATATGATAGGATAAGGATTTTCTGGTTTGAATATTTAATTTGCAATTATAAGAAATAATCAAACATTTAAGCTTATGTATTTTTTATGACACAATATACGGATGGAGATATTTATCTCTCTGATGAAGTAGAAAGGCAAGAGATAATTTCTTCCTCATCTAACTTTACAGCTCATCAGACAGCTGTGCAATTTATCACATGTTTTTTTCTGTACTGCCTGCAGTTTAGTATTCTAACCTCCCTATGACTGTAACTAGAACCTTTCCTCTCTTTGGCCTCAGTCAACTTGAAAAAGAAGATTTTTTTTTGCTACACATCTTGCAGATAAAGAATTTATAATCAGAAAATGGTCTCAAGGCAGGTGTCAGAGTTGTTAAGGATTCAATCCTTTTGCAATGACAACTTTTAATAGCCTTAAAGACCAATACCTTGTGCTCTTGCAGGGTTTCCTAACCCCAAAAATGGGCAGAAATGCACTTAGTGCTCTAGAAAGGGTCGGATGCTTGATGTCAAATGAGCTAAAGAAGCAGACTACAGCTATTATTTTCTTTACAATTTTTTCTACAATTGCCGCACATTTTCCTATCTCATCCATTCTCTGAGAAGTATATTTGACTCATATTAAACGCACCTGGATGTAGAGACAGTTGCAGCTAAGAAGTAACCTCAATAAATCTGCTATAAAAATCTAACACCTCCCTTGTCTTTTTATAAAAATGTCACATTAAAAAGCCTCCGCGCTAAAAGGAAGAAAAAGCCAAGAAGGCCTGGTTTTGAGTGGTTTGAATGTAGTTATTTTTAACAAGGACCACATCTTATAACTTTTCACCTGTTAAGCCTCATGCCTGGTTATGGTAACATGTATTAGTCACCATGACAACAACAAACTGGAGCACACATGGATACAACAGTTCTGGCTGAAAAAAAATATAATTGTTTTCCTGTAAAAAATGTAAATGTTCTGCAGATCCAGTCAAATCCTCATTATTTGCTTGTCTTTTAATTCCTAGAGGAAGACGATTTTTTTAGCTCCTAAAATGTTTGGCTTTGGAATAATGGAAACAGGTTCATGGTGTACTTCAGATTTAAAATACTTCTGATGCTCGGTGGCCAAAATGACCCCTCTCTGGCAGAAATGTTCCAAGGAGAAATGACAGAATGAGGAGAAATCTACAGCTGCTCTCAAATACTTTGCTGAACAACTGGCTGCCGTCCTTGCCACACTGCAGTATGGACCACTAGGTTTGCTCTCACCCACGGCTGCCACCGAAGTGACAAAATCTCAGGGCACCATCAGCGTTTCCTCCAACTCGCCCGAAGTGCCTCTGCAAAGGCACTGTGCAACCTCAGCCGGGCAAAGCCTACGGACCGACACAGAGAGGGCAGCACGACACACGGCGGGGGCGAAACTGTGCAAAGCCAGCTGTTTACACGGTTTCCCGCTTTGCAAGAGGGAGCCCACAGAAACACGAGGAACAGAATTCAAAGCTCCCCCTTGGGCGAGACGGCTGCTGGCGGTGTCCTGCGCGCTCGCACAGCACGGAGCCGACACACGCTAACCACAGGCACGACACACGGATGCTGCACACACGGTCCCCGCACACGGCTGACAAGGTACGGACTGCTCTGTCATCTCAGCGACACGACACCCGGAGATAACACCACGGCAACAGACTGTACATCCAGAGAGTGACAACACAGCCATTCATCGCTGTATCTTACATTATGAACCTGATGAATCGATGAGAAAGGATATCCTGCATTCTGGTTGGTCCAGATCTCACAGACCGAAGACTGCTAATATAAACAGAAAACTGTATCTCATCTTGTAAATATTAATGCACTGCAACTGCCAAAAGGCAAGAGTAATTAGGAAAAGGCTTGCAACAATAGTAAAGAAGGAAGTAAAACAGTTGTACAAAGTAATTATTTTATTTATTTGATGACAAAATATTTTTGGACTAACTGAAAAGAAACATAGCTTATTCAGAGACTTTAGAAGAGCTTTCAGACTAGGAGTACAAGAAAACAATTTTGTCAGAAGTGCTCGTGATGTAGAGATAAATAGAAACTGCCTAGAGCAGAAGAAATATTGGTTACTTTCAGTTTTTGGCAGGGAAGAAGTCTGAAGTCAATGTCCCAAGTAAGTTTTGAGACTTAAATCTCTGTCTGTTGGAGACATTCACAGGGAGAAAAGAAGGGAAAAATATGGCAACACAATCAACAGGAAAAATACATTTTCTTTATAAAAATTACCAGAAATGAATGCATTGCAATTTAGTGAAACAGCTGCCCACCATCTCCTTTCAACAACAGTTTCTTTGCATACTAAGATATAGATAATATTACCTTTGGTATTGACCATGACCCCAGTGCATAAACGAAAGGTTTCAGCCTACCCTCTACATTATCATACAGAGAATCTGTAGTAGTAAAGCAATCATACTGTAGCATCTCTAGCAAAAGCAGCAGAACTAGGCAAGCACAGCATTCACCAGCATCTTTTATATATTTCCTTGTTTGGACAATCATCAATAAGGCATCTGTGGCACCTCAGCAAAAGCTAAGATAACATTTTACAGTAGCCAGGCAACTGAAACAAAGCATCAGACATAGGATCTGCCCACGCTATCTTCAGCAGCCAGCAACAAAAGGCAATAAACAGACATGAAAAATGCAACTGCAGCATCCAGAAGAGATAGCAATTAATATATCAGTAACTTAACAGCATCAAGAATGTGCATTGCTGGTTTTTGTCAGCAGCAGCAGGAATTTTGCACTAATGCTCAAATCAAATCAAAGAAGTGCAAGTCTTAAAATACGACTCTTGCTCTTACCTTTTGTGGCCTGCACCCTGGCTGATGACAGAACAAGTTACCACTTCTATATACTGTCAGGGAAGCCTGGCATCCTCTGGACTGACTACAGAGTGCTGCCAGACAGCCTGGTGGCTGTCTAATGGCATTAATTGTCCCTTATTTCCTTCATTATCTGAAATGCATGAGCACATATCCCTTCCTCCAGCTTCAGTACTCTTAAAACTTTCACATATTTGGTTAATTCCATCTCCCTCATCTTGTTTTTGAAGTTCTTAGCTTCTTTCCTGATATGCAGGTCTCTACATTTTGATAGCATTAGCTAATTAAAACTTTGACTTTTTTTCAGTCTTCTACCTCATCCCCTCCAACTTGCTACAGACTAGTCCTCCTCCATGTGATGAACACATAGTCTCAGTGCAAGACCAGCAGCAAAATACTGCTGCAGCTTCTACTGCTGTGCCAGCCTTAGGACATTGCACTAGTGGTTACCAATGACCTCCTACAGTGTATGTCAAGAAAACTGACTTCTGGATATTCTGGCCATACCCATTGCTGTGATACCTATATCCGTCTGCCTGAGGTGGGGAAGATTTCTGAATAGGAATCCATGGCAGAAGACTGTGCCTCTGGTTTTCAGAAGAGCAAAGAGAAGGCATTTCCATGCTGGTGCAGCATGCCCAAACATCTGGTAATCAAGGCAGTAAAGAAAACCGATGGCACTGCTATTTGTACACACCGAGGTATTGAAAGCAGGAGGGGATGCAGCAGGATGCTGCATGCTGGCAGATGTTTTATTTCTCCCCGGCACTGGCAAGGGGTTGCCATGATGCTGCCACATCATGCAACCAGTTCTCAGCATCATGATATTCTTGAGACAAAAGTGTGCTCATAATTACTGCCCCTCTCAAGGACTTGCCTTTAGGGATTGGCATGGGTCCTCAGCCAGCTCAGTCCTTCAGCTGCCCTGGTGCTAACTCAGGGACAGGTAACCCTGCAGCAGTGAGTGCCCAGGCTTCTTTTAAAAAGAGGGCAATGAATTAATACTCTTTTACAAATGTCAGTGGTACTCATCCTGCCCCTCCCTCCCCAGCCCATCTTTTCCCAAATGGAAGCACACAAGTTTTGGGTGCAAGTATCTGCTGCAAGAACTGTTCAAGTGAACTTCCCTCAGCAAACAGACTTGCCTCCAGAATTACAAATTTGAAGGACTTAGGCTTAAGTGAAACCATCTTTAAATACAATCAACATTAAATCAAGCAGACCAGCAGAGACTGAGAATTTCCCACAACTCCACAAATGCCCAATCAGAAGGGCAGCAGTGCAAAACTCATTCCTCAGTTTTGCTTTCATTAATGTTTAAATGATTAAGGTACTGAAATTCAGTGCAGATGGAACATTAATTTTATGTATGGTAATTAGTTCAAATTCAGAAATCAACCTTTTCCTTGCACTATTGTAGAAATATTTAGCATTTACTATATACATAGTTTATATCTTCAAAGTACTCAAAGTTTTAATGAATTATGAAATATCCAGAAGAAGTGCCTAAAGTTGCATATCCCTATGGTGTAGAGGAATGAATCAAGGCAAGGAAAAAGGTTAAGTGATTATCTGAGGCCAAAAAATAGGCAGTAGAAGGAAGAATTCAGATTAGGCTTCAAACACTCACAATTTTCAGCTCCCAAAACATATGCTCTCAAAAAAACTCTAAAGAATTCAATCTGTGCATAAACTTCCACCACAGTAAACACAAATACACTTGGGCACCCAATACCACTGACACAGAAGTTCTGTGAAAGAGTTTAACGAAGAACATTTTCCTAAGTAATATGTTGAAGAAGAGCAAAACAATAGCATCATCTATTGCCTGATTAGTATCAAAAATGCCATGATCTTAATACTTTCCAAAAGATAAATGCTTACGAGTAATGTCACAGCAAGACTCTGCTATCATATCCTTTTTGTGGTGTCCCACGCATAAAAGGTTTCCCTGTCTAGTCACAGTGGAACACAACTCTGACATGCAGGAGAGGAAAGGAAGGGTGAAAAAAAATTATCCAGGAAAAATGTTAGGCTTCCTCCTTATAGACTAGGAAAACATGACTGATAATCTGAAGAAGGAAAGAAACTATAAGACTGATCACAGAAATCATATGCTCTCTAAGCAGGGGAAAGTGGCAGAAAAGAATACCTGGACAGCTCACAGAGGAGCAGCAGGGGCCGGGTTGAAGGCAGCCCAGATGTATTCATTACACCTCAATGAGTTTCACTCAATGGCATGTTAGGAGATGTTAAAAGATTTACCTAAATTAGGAGTAATTATCCTTGAAAAATCACAGAAGATACTAAAGGACCAAAGAAGGGCTAAAAGACTATTTAAGATGGGAGAAAAGGAAGGTTCAGAAGGTTATAGCCAGCCTAACTGCAGGGACCAGTAAGTGACTAGAAATGTTTAAAAATCTAGTCACCACCCCGTGGTTCTCATGACCTTCTGACATCACTCCTGGCCACCTGAAATAAACACTCAGGAATAGATGTATGCATGTGCATATTTATATCTATGGATACATTATAGAGAATAACAAAGAAAAAGTGTAATACTGCCTGCCATGTGCTACCAAGACACTTTCTATAAGCCAAGAAAAATTCAAGATGTTCACAATGAGGTCCTTCAGTATGAATCATCTCAGATCAAATTTCCTTCCTGTGTTGGAAAACTGGCCGATTAAATCAGCAGCAGCAAGGAGAAGTACAGCAAGACTTGGACACTGTGTGACTCCTGATGCAGCATGTTTCAAGAATGATTATTGGTATTTAAGCACAAATGGACTGAACATCTTGAGGCAATCTGCAAGGACCTGCTTCATGCTGTGGCTTGGAGGAGTGCCAGTGCTCTCTAAGGAGGATCCAGAAGTGAGGGACTTCTCAGAATGGGGTAAGAACTCTAAACAGGTCTGATGAACTACAGATCAGTCAGACGAAATTTGGTAGGATTACACAGAGAAAATAAAATAGCAAAGAAAGTGAAGCAAAGTGATTTAGGCTGGGGGAGGTAAAAAAAAGATCTGAAAGTTTCAATACACTTCAAATTAAATAGAGCAGTCTTAGCAGTCTTTAAAAAGAATAAGGATATAAATCACAGGATAATTCATGCTGCAAGGAAGCTCAGGAAAACTCCACTCCAGCTCTAGCTGAAGGCAGGAGCAGCTGAGATGAGATCAGATTGCTCAGGGCTTCATCCTGTCAGGTCTTGAAAACCTCAAGGACAGAGACTGGACAGACTCTGTGAACAACCTGTCCCCCTGCTTGCTGGTCCAGATGGGGAGAAAGTTCCTTGTGGCATCCAGAGTCCCTCTTTCAGTCTTAGTACCCAAAGCTACATCTTCTCCAGCCAGCCCTGGTTGTTCAGACTCTCCTCAGATGGCAATTGCTTCAGTTTCCAACCATCTCAGTGGCCCTTTGCTGAATTTCCTTCTCCCATATGAAAAAACCTCAGGTATTTAGTAAAAGTAGATGCTGCATCCCTGAATGTTCTCAAAGCTCTGGGGAGAGCTTGCCTTACTAACAGAAATAACTGCAAATACTCCTTCTAAAAAAATAAAATCTTCAGAGATGAAGAGAGAAATTTGAAATTTGTATTTCTTTTAGAAAAGCAGAAACTTAAAAGATCACTTTTTATTAGAAGAATTACATGCTTTGCAGTGGTGTATTTCTTCTGCTGCTCCTGAAAATACTTCACATGAAAATTTCCAGACAACAACGGAGCCCCTTGGACTGGCTCTCTTGCAGGCAAGAAGTAGGTGATAGGTGTGAGCTCCTTCTCATTGACAATATCCCTTCTGCTGGTGTTGCCAGCTTCCAGTGCACCCCAGCCTCTTAGCCTTGCAGAGAGGATACATACTTCTGGACAAACACTAATTAAGTTTATGAGACTATAGGTACCTACCTTTCTTCAAAAAAATACCCCCAAACAACAAA